TTCATCTTAAGATCATCTCTTTGAAGCACCATCGTAATAATTGGTTTTTCCAAAGATGTAAATTTTTGAGATGTAAAGAGGATTTTCGGTTCTGCGCTAATTATTTCAAGGCAATAATCTTTCAGATTTTCAAATGTTTCATGTTGGTAAATGACTTCAAGTGGGACAACAGGGTCTTTATGCAAATATTCTTCATCATCGATTAAATAATCCTGGATGTGTTGAATCAAATTGCTCAATCCCAGCTCGTCAGCTGCAACTAGAAATTGTAAAATTACTTCTTTATGGTGTTGATCATAATCTATAGTTCCCGTATACAAATACCTAAAGATTTAACAAAATTATTATTAAGGTTTTAATAGTTAAGATACTATTGAATTGCTTGACTTGCCTGAGAATTAATTGGAATACCTCAGAAGAGATGTTTGGCTTTTTAAAAATAAAATTACCCTTATCATCTTTTTCTTCCCAATTGCTAGATAATGCTCTTTTAAAATATGGACACCTATTACGAAGCACGAATGAATGCGCTCGAAGTTCCTTGTCATCAGGTTCTTCACCAACCTTGATTATTACATCATAATCATCACCATTTACAAGAGCTTTCTCAAAATCTTCGATAACTTCGGGAAAATAACGTGACGGCATTTCGGTTCAAATAGAAAAACTTTCTGCATAAAAATGCAGAATTGAGCTTTTTATTATAGCGAAAGAAGATCAAATTTTCATTGACTTAAATAGTTCTGGGATCGAGTTAATACCTTTCGTTCATGAAACCTTATTTTGAGATAGTATAATTATATAGATCTTTGAACAACTTGTTTCGCAAGGTAAATATTTACATCTCTCTGCAACGATACTAATCAGATTTATCAATAATCATAATATTTTTATTATGAGATTTAACGGTCAACGAATTATTTTTTAATTTTTTCTACGCACTCGTGTCAATAATATTTTCATAATATAGAATAGAATTATATAATCAATATTGTCACTCGTTAATATCAATCATTGTGGGTTATTTATTCCAATAATATATTAGGAAAGTAGAATTTGTTCACGATCCATTTGTTTTCTAAATGGTGACTTCTGTGACATCCATCAATTGTTTTTGCATATATTTGCCTTAGCTTAGGTAATATTGAATATGCACATATTTTTTTACAATTTATAAATCAAAAGAACGCCATCTAAAAATTAGTAATCAACTGATTTACATTGGTCCGAGGAAATGAGGTTCTACCATTATCATGTTTGAGATATTTTTCTAACGCAATTTACCTACAGGAAGTTTAACAGACAACATCCGAACCTTCACATTACCGAATTACTGTAATAATGCATTTCTAGTAAGGTTATCAACTTGGGGTGAAGGGGTATTTTAAGATATAAGGTATTTCTTTTTTTTTTTGGTGAAACCTGTTTTGTTTGAAATATGAGATTCGTAAATGGCAATAGAGAGTGAATGTCAATTTCCTCTAAAACAAATTAGCGACGAATTTGAAAAAAAAAAATCATTTTGAAATTGAAAAGGATTATTTTCAAATTAGATAAATTAAACGAATTTCATCGAAAATAAAAATTTATAACAATAGTTATTTGATCTAATATGTTACAAAGTAAGGTGTTTATATTAAGGTTTTTTTGATTATTGATCACGTGAAATAATAAAGATTATTAACATTTATTTCATTGTATCGTAAGAATTTAAATATGAATCAATACAAAGCAATGTTGATTCAAACGTACTGTATTTTTTATGAATCAACTCTTTTTTACAACCCGAAATACTTCATATTCATCGATGGTGAAATTGTTTGGAATGCTAATGTTAGTATATGAGTGATTACGGGCATACCAATTGCGATCTTGTCCACGCAAATCATGCCCACCACCAAAAGTTGGTCCATAACTACTGTTATAATATATTGCATTATTTTGATATTGATAAATACGACCTATATTCGCAGAATTGAGGTTATTACTATCCGTTATGTTAAGCAAAAAGCTATCCGATGTATTTGCATATTGACCATTCTGATACCAATTCAAAGGATTGTAACCACCAATTATTTGCTTTGATCCTTCAATTCTTGCAATAAATATTGTGGCACCCTTGCTATCACATAATTGATGAAACTTTGCGGAATCAAAACCATCCCTAGTACCACGGAGAAGGAGATTAAATTTATATGGAACGTCTTTAGTTGCATAGTCTTCACTTCTTTATCAATCCATTTCGCAAAAAGGTTAAAACAATCAAATTTAATTATGGAAGAATTATTTTTAAAATTCCTAGGAGGCTTGAAGTTAACAGTTGGAACAGAATCTGGAACCATATGATATCGAAGGACATCATTGATCAAATCTTGAGGCAAGAAATTTCTATACGGATATACTTTTAAGAAAAAGTCTTCTTTGGAAATATCATAGAATCTGATTAACGGAGTATATTCTTGCACAATCTGTTTAATATCTGTTGAAGTTTCCGAGGACCACGTAGATTCATCATCACTTTTCAGGTTATGAACAAAAAGCCATCTAAGAAAAGATTCCCATATCTCAATTTCTTCCATATTAAAATCCTCTCTTTGAAGCACCATTGTAATAATTGGTTTTTCCAAAGACGTAAATTTTTGAGATGTAAAGAGGATTTTCGGTTCTGCGCTAATGATTTTAAGACAATAATCTTTTAGGGTTCCAAATGTTTCGTGTCGGTAAATGACTTCAAGTGGAACAACGGGGTCTTTATGCAAATATTCTTCATCATTGATTAAATAATCCTGAATGTGTTGTATCAATTTGCTCAATCCCAGCTCGTCAGCTGCAACTAGAAATTGTAAAATTACTTCTTTATGGTGTTGATCATAATCTACAATTCCCGTATACAAATACCTAAAGATTTAACAAAATTATTATTAAGGTTTTAATAGTTAAGATACTATTGAATTGTTTGACTTGCCTGAGAATTAATTGGAATACCTCAGAAGAGATGTTTGGCTTTTTAAAAATAAAATTACCCTTATCATCTTTTTCTTCCCAATTGCTAGATAATGCTCTTTTAAAATATGGACACCTATTACGAAGCACGAATGAATGCGCTCGAAGTTCCTTGTCATCAGGTTCTTCACCGACCTTGATAACTACATCATAATCATCACCTTTTACAAGAGCATTTTCAAAATCTTCGATAATTTCGGGAAAATAACGTGACGGCATTTCGGTTCAATTTTTACTCAATAAAAAAATTTCCGACATAAAAAAATGCTGAATTGAGCTTTTTATTATGGCGTAAAGGTAGATCAAAGGTAAGTTCATTGACCTATCAAGATATAATACTTTTAAAGCCATATCGATATATTCTTTGTTTGAGTAAGTTAATTTATCTAAATCTTTAAAGCCTTTATTATGGTCGATTTCAATTTGTTTCATAGATGACGAGTAACATGGTTGTAACATATTACATCACTATGTAAAGAACTTATACAAATATATCAATAATCATGTTTGTTGTGATCAGTTTAGATTATGAAATTAACGGACATCAAAATTATTTTTTCTATGCACTCGTGACAATATTTTCAAACTATTTATTATATAATCGTTGTGGCTTAAGCTAAATATTTTGTTTCACAATATGAAAAATATAACCTTTTTTATGTTTTCTCACAGTATTTCTAAACAATGATTTCATGGGTAAAACCTGTGTTTGTATATTTATGACTTAGGTAATAAGGATTGTTTTAAATTTTATAAATCCATCTAAAATTGTAATCAATTGATTCATTAGTCTGATTGGTTATGTGACCTAATTTCTTTTCTATCGTGTAACAAAAGGTTTAATACCTACTCAAAATTTACTGTCTTTGTTTCAATTCTATTCTGACCTTAATGTAATATCGTGAAATTATACTTCTTTCCTTCACACGACTGATCTTTATTTTTTTTTTTAGATTGTGGATAAGAATATCTATCTTCAATAAAGGAGTTGGTTTCTTTAGCATTTCTTAATAAAATCATAATCCGGGATACGCCTGTTCTTTATATAAATTTTTATCTCTCCTTTAGTTTTAATAGTGTCAACTATTTTATACTTAATATATTTTTGTTAAGATTCCTTTGTCAATAAATAAAGCATCATCTTATAAGTTGATTTATACTATTAGAAAGTTTTATAATGCTTAATATTGATCCGTATAGAAAAGGCGCGAAACGAATACTTTGAAATTTATTTTTCCATTTATCTTTAAAAATTTTAGTGTCAAATGTCGATTTTATATAACATACAACCCCCCCCCCCATATTTTTTTTGATTTATATTATATATATTTTATTCTAGGAAATAAAATGTTGATTTGTACTTTCGCGAATGTTCTTGACCACATGAAATAATTAAAATTATAGACATTCATTTTCTTTATTTATTTTATTTAATATCGTAAGAATCATATAAAATTTTTTTCCTTCATTTCTTCTTTACGACCTGAAATACTTCATATTCATCGATGATGAAGCTACTTGGAATGTTAATGTTAGTATACGCGTTACCATTATTGGCATACCAATTACATCCTTGTCCACGCAAATCATGTCCATTACCAAAAGTTGGTCCATAACTACTGTGACATAATATTGCATAAGTTTGGTTTTGAAGAACGCGACCTATTTTTGCGGTATTGAGGTTGTTGCTATCCGTTATGTTAAACAAAAAGCTATCCCCTGTACTTTGCCATTGACCATTCTGATACCAATTCAAAGGATTATAACCACCAATAATTTGCTTTGAACCATTAACTCTTGCAATTGATATTGTGGCACCCTTGCTATCACATAATTGATGAAACTTTGCGGAATCAAAACCATCCCTAGTACCACGGAGAAGGAGATTAAATTTATATGGAACGTCTTTAGTTGCATAGTCTTCACTTCTTTTATCAATCCATTTCGCAAAAAGCTTAAATAAACGATTGTTAATCAAGACAGAATTAGAACTAGTTTTAGGATTCCTAGAAGGCTTGAAGTTCAATGTTGGAACAGAATTTGCAACCATATGAAACCGCAGTACATCGTTGACCAAATCTTGAGGCAAGAAATTTCTATACGGATATACTTTTAAGAAAAAGTCTTCCTTGGAGATATCATAGAATCTGATTAACGGAGTATATTCTTGCACAATCTGTTTAATATCTGTTGAAGTTTCCGAGGACCACGTAGATTCATCATCACTTTTCAGGTTGTGAACAAAAAGCCATCGAAGAAAAGATTCCCATATCTCAATTTCTTTCATCTTAAGATCATCTCTTTGAAGCACCATCGTAATAATTGGTTTTTCCAAAGATGTAAATTTTTGAGATGTAAAGAGGATTTTCGGTTCTGCGCTAATTATTTCAAGGCAATAATCTTTCAGATTTTCAAATGTTTCATGTTGGTAAATGACTTCAAGTGGGACAACAGGGTCTTTATGCAAATATTCTTCATCATCGATTAAATAATCCTGGATGTGTTGAATCAAATTGCTCAATCCCAATTCATCAGCCGCAACTAAGAATTGCAAAATTACTTCCTTGTGGTGTTGATCATAATCTACAATTCCCGTATACAAATACCTAGAAACATTAAGCGACATCGATATTAAGTTTTTAAGAATAATAGTATTTAACATATATTTGAATTGTTTACTTGCCTGAGAATTAATTGGAACACCTCAGAAGAGATATTTGGTTTTTTAAAAATAAAATTACCCTTATCATCTTTTTCTTCCCAATTGCTAGATAATGCTCTTTTAAAATATGGACATCTATTACGAAGCACGAATGAATGCGCTCGAAGCTCCTTGTCATCAGGATCTTCACCAACCTTGATTATTACATCATAATCATCACCATGTACAAGAGCTTTTTCAAAATCTTCGATAACTTCGGGAAAATAACGTGACGGCATTTCGGAACAAATTTTTTTCAAATAGAAAAACTTTCGGCATAAAAATGCAGAATGAGTTTTTTTATTATGGCTTAAAGAAGATCAAATGTTCATTGACTTATTTATAGTTCTGGGATCGAGTTAATACCTTTCATTTTGAGATGATTTAATTATGATCAACTAATTAACGGAACTTCCGCAAGGTAAAATGCTTATACAAATTTATCAATAATCATAATATTTTTATTATGAAATTTAACGGGCAACGAATTGTGTTCTATGCACCTCGTGACAATAATATTTTCGTAACAGAATAGTATTATATAATCGTTGTGGCTAATTATTTGTTTCAAATTTTGAATATATAATTTTGAAATTACCTTTTTTATATAATAAGGTGTTAGGTAAAGTTGAGTATTATATCAAAATTGTTCTTTAACTTCTCACATAGTTCTAAACAATGATTTCATGTGTAAAAAATCCTGGAAATTATTTATCTACTTCCATCTGTATTTGCATATATTTAGTTTAGGTAATAGCCATTATGCATTTGAACAAAGGAATTGAACATATTGTCTTAAATTTTATAAAATCAAAAGTTGCCTTTCTTGTATATTAAATACAACGTCATCTCAATTAAGTAATAAATTGATACGATTGGTTGTGACCTAAATTTCTTTGAATTATCGATATAGAATTTTTGCTGGAGTCAACTCTCCCAACAGATTTTTACGAACGTTATTTTACCTACTCGATAATTCATTACAAAATTTACCAAATTAATTAATGATACATCTTTTACTAACTGTGCCTGTGTCCAAATTTACTGTGCCCTATTCCTTTGTCTTTTCTGAAATTATACCACTTCATCCCTTCACACGACTGATCAATTGATATTTTTAAGGGAGAATTATAGTGTTAATTCTAGATAAATTCTGTATATAAGTGCTCCGTTATTGCTCTTTTTTTAGATAGTGGATAAGGATATCTATCTTCATTTAAAGATTATTTACATAACGTATTTAATAGTTGGTTTCTTTTGCATTTCCTTAATAAATCATAATCCTTAAAGGATACGCCTGTTCTTAATATAAATTTTCTCTCCTTTAGTTTTAATAGTGTCAACTATTTTATGTTAAGATACCTCTGTGTCAATAAATAAAGCATCATCTTATAAAGTTGATTTATACTTTCTATACCAAGAAATTCGAAATTGAATTGAAAGTTTATAATGCTTAATAATGATTTATTTACGTATTATTAAAAATGAATTATATGTCGTAATTGGTGTTATACATAAAATTATGTTTTAAATAATCTGGTAGGACAACCTCGTCTTTATTTTTTTAATACGTGAAATTTATACCATTTATGCAAATAATCTCGTAAATTTTTGTTCGTAAAGTTCAATCAAAATGTCTATTATTAACCTAAGAAACCTAAGAATATCATACAAATTCCATATGTAGACAAAAGTGTAACTGGGGCTATTAGAATTTTATAATTAAACTATCAAATATTCTAACGAAATAAATTTTTTTGCATTTTTATTTTATCACGTGAATTAATTAACAAAAAAAAAATGATTGGCTAAAAATGGACGCGCGAAATGCAATCCCCTTTTTTAAAATAAGGTCCTTTGCCTTAAAAGTTTATCATCACGCGATATCTTATATTACCGAGCCATCAATTAAATTTCACAAGAAATCATAAATGTTTATTTTCTTTCTAGTCGCGTAATAAATAAAAATAAATTTCGTTCACAATAACTTATGATGAAATCTAACGTAATCAAGTAATTGTTATTCGCATAAAGGATTTATGTATACATACTACTTTGGATTTATAAAAATGTAAAAATTTAAGGAGAAAAACGAGAATGAAACTTAATTTAAACATTATAACGAAATGATAGCAACATCATGCAATGTTATGTAAAGTAAACGCAGCACGAAAACAATTCAATAAATACATCAAATTAAAAAAATAAGGTAGCGAGCCGAATAAAAATCTATATTGGATCACATGATTTAGTATGTCGAATATAAGTTTAGAATGTAAATATATCTTTATATTATAAATAGAACTCATAAACGTTACATAGAAAATAAAAGTTTTTTAAATAAATTTCATTCGAAATCGCAATATCAACGAATCTTTTCGAATATTCGAATCTCTATTTGAATTTGAATGGAAGCTCCATATCATGCTTATTGAGCAAGTAACATGAAGATTATATAACGAGCATATTCCTAGATCCTTGAATCATTCCAGTTATTGAATTAATGTAAATTCTAATCAATCAGCGCAACTCCAATCAGATCATTTGTTATCTTTATTAATAGAGTCTGTACAAATTTCGTAATATAATTTGACATTAGTTCTATACACTTTATTTAACTCTATGTGGAGTGAAACAATTTAATAACTAGAATTGAAGAAATTTCTTAGTGCACTATTGTTGCAATCTAGAATTATATTATTAACTACTGATGACAAGCCTGGAGATGTTTGTTTGTCTTCGACAAACTGTATTCCAAATCGTGATTACAAGTCAAATATGTTGGTTTTATTTGTTCAACCAGCATTATATTTGATAGGCATCTATTTTATCACGAGAATAATGAAAATAATGAGGTAGCACAGAAATCCATGATTTTAGACGGAATGCAATACTTACAGAATATTTTGAACGTCTTTTTTATAACATAAATATGGCTTTTCCTTGACTTGTTGAATCGTAAGTTCTTAAAAATTCCGAAACTCGGAGATTGTAGCTTTCAAAAATCCATTGAAAAAAGCGCGTAACTATAATTATTTAAAGTATGGTGAATGCAACAAAAACATTAATCATATCGTATCCTCAAATCCTTTTTAGAAGTGTTTCTGAAATCAATCTTATTAATAGCATCCTCCCATGAATAAAGAAATCTGATGTCGTTGCCTTGCATCATAATATTCATCTAATGTATATAGGAATTAGATTTCAAAAATATGACAAAATGCAAAACTAACATCACCTTTTTCACAATTAACGTACTCTTGCTAAATTTTAGCGCTTTTAATAATGTGTTCATCTATCACATTAGAACTTATGTGGCAAGTTTCCTGTTCCTAAATGATTTAACATTTAACAAGTTATCTTTCCTTGCTAATATTTATGAATGACATGTTTTATTAAAAATTAAAAATTGTAAAACAGATTTCAGATTATCATGCATAAAAAATTTTATGAGAAAAACAAAATGCATCCAAATTAAGCAATTTAAACCCTCAAACAATAACCAAATTCTTTCTTAATACAACTACCGATCTGCAGAAAATCTACAATAGACTCTCGTAACACAGATTATTTTTCAGCACGAAAAACCATTTATTGTATACTGTACGACGTTAATTTTGTCTTCACACAAAAAATTTATATATGAAAGTTTCTAGTGATTTCCCCTTTTCTATGCAAAGTTTTTGTATATACTCACTTTAACTTTGAACTTCCATATGGCAAATGAAACTGACAATTCAACAAACAGCGGTTCAATTCCATTAATTCACATTTCTTCCTTGGAACATTTTAATGGTTCCTTATCACGTATTAAATGCGCAATAGAAAACCACGGCTTTACTATTCTACAAGTTTGAAATTCTGAAGTCTCAACCTTCAAGATCATCTCTCAAACTCTAAGGAACAATCCAATCTCGTTCTGATGGTGAAGGTATTACTGGTCATTTTGACTCCAAAAATTCTAGTTGGAAAGACTTTAAGGATGAATATCAAGGTGTATCTAAAGGAATGTTTTCTCCTCATAATGATGGAACCATTCTTGATGGCATGTTCCCGATCCAGAATGCAATGATCAAAATAGGTCCCCCTAAAATGATTTTACTCCAACCTATTGAGTATGATAGATACTGCGGGAGGAGAAATTATGCTTGTTGATGGCAAAAAAGCATTGGAGTCTCTTTTAATGGAAAGACCAAAACTAATCGAAATTTTAATGAAGCCAGGATGTATATATTTTTGCAGAGACAATCAAATTTCTCTTAATTGTTATGTTTACAGTCACATGATTCAACAACATTTACGCAAGATTGGTCATACGGAGCAATAGGATTCCTTTACAACAATTATCACATGAACCCGAAATTCCAATTTAACATCAGTGGAATACCATCATGTGATATAATTATATCACATGGTGGTATTCCACTTACCCTAGATTATATCACCACCATATAATCTGAATATCACCATATGATCTAAATATCACCATATAATCTAAATATCACTATATAATCTAACTACCACCATATAATCTAAAAGATACAATCTAACTACCACCATATAATCTGAATAATATAATCTAAT